CAGCTGGCAGCAGGGGGGGGGGGGGGGTTTCCCTTCAGCCCAGCCTGCACCCCCTCCAATCTGGGACCCCTCAAGGGATTTCTGACTGCCCATTTAGGCCCGATCCCAAATGGTCAGTCAGACACCCCTCTCACAATTCAGGACTGCTGGCCCCCCCACCTGCGCCTGCCTGCCTCCCTGATTGCCCCTAACAGCTTCTGCCTGCCAGCCTGATAACCCCCTAACCACTCTCCTTCCAGCCTGATCAACGTAACTGTTCTCCTGCCGGCCCGGTTGCCCCCAACTGTCCTCCCCTGCTGGCCTAGTTGCCCCCAACTGCCCTCCCCTGCTGGCCTGGTCCCCCCCAACTGCCCTCCTCTGCTGGCCTGGTCCCCCCCCAAGTGCCCTCCCCCTGCTGGCCTGGTCGCCCCCAACTGCCTTCCCCTGCTGGCCTGGTTGCCCCCAACTGCCCTTCCCTGCTGGCCTGGTCCCCCAAAACTGCCCTTCCCTGCAGGACTGATCTTCCCCAACTGCCCTCCCCTGCTGGCCATCTTGTGCGAGACATCTTTGACCACATGGGGGCGGCCATATTTGTGTGTTGGAGTGATGGTCAATTTGCATATTGCTCTTTTATTAGATAGGATTGCCTCCCACCCTGCACCTAACTATGGTCATAATGCCACTGACAAACTTTACATTCTTTCCATCTTGTTGATGTTATTCAAACAATAAATTGCTAAAATTGGGCATGAATGTTTTATTGTCCTTTTGTGGACAATATTTCTTCACGCCTATTTTTTGCTGAGTCATACTGTTTCTATTACCACAATTCCACTACTAGGTTTTAACTCTACTTTTCCACAACAAAGCTATTTTCTACACATGACAGCCTATTTCATGGAAACATCATCCTGACATAAACTATAATGAAGTTGCATTTATAACACAAATATATCACTCCCCTACTGAAGATAAACTTCGTTTCTTTTAGAATCAAAGATCAATATTTTACTCAAAATAAGCATTCAAATAAACACTTTAAATATGCACCTAGCTTTTGAAATTGATGTTAATATCTAACTTTCTAATATGTAAACAAATTCAAATTTTTAAAGAAATAGCCCATTGAAAATTTATGCTTATATCTTCTGTATATCCTATCTTAAACTTTTCTTTTTCCACTTCTCCACACAAATGTGGCTTCCATAATCCAGAAGGTAGCTTAATTTTTTTGACAAAATTTTAAATGATGGAGGAAAAATTGAAAGAGCAGAGAGGAAGGGAAGAAACAGCTTGTGTAGTACCACACAATCATGTGCTTTCTTTTAATTTATAATTTCCTCTGTTGCAC